CGAGTCCCGCATCAGGCTCCTTGCTCATTGGGAGCCTGCTCTCCCTCTGCCTGATGCTCCCCCTGCTTGTGCTCACGTGCTCTCTCTCTCTGTCAAATAAATAAAATCTTAAAAAAAAAAAAAAAGAATTACAGGCCAAAATCCCTGATGAACATGGATGCAAAAATTCTAAACAAAATATTAGCAAATTGAATCCAACAATACATTAAAAGAATCCTTCACCACAATCAAGTGGGATTTATTCCTAGGCTGTAAGTTGGTTCAATATTCACAAATCAATCAATGTGATAAACCACATTAATAAAAAAAAAGATAAGAACCATATGATCCTTTTAATAGATGCAGAAAAAGCATTTGACAAAGTACAACATCCATTCATGATAAAAGCCTTCAAAAAAAACAGGTTTAGAAGGAACATACCTCAACATTATAAAGGCCATATATGGAAAACCCACTGCTAATATAATCCTCAATGGGGAAAAACTGAGAGCTTTTCCTCTATGGTCAGGAACAAGACAGGGATATCCACTCTCACCACTGTTACTTAACATAGTACTGGAAGTCCCAGCCTCAGCAATCAGACAATAGAAAGAAATAAAAGGCATCTAAATTGGTAAGGAAGAAGTCAAACATTCGTTATCTGCAGGTGACAGGATACTCTATAGAGAAAACCCAAAAGATTCCACCAAAAACTTGCTAGAACTGATACATTAACTCAGTAAAATTGCAGGATACAAAATAGATATACAGAAATCTGTTGCATTCCTATACACCAACAATGAAGTAGCAGAAAGAGAAATCAAGGAATCAATCCCATTTACAATCGTACTAAAAACCATAAAATACTTAGGAATAAACCTACCCAAAGAGGTAAAGGATCTATGCTCTAAAAACATAAAACACTTAGATAACAAGCTTCTGCACAGCGAAGGAAACAATCAACAAAACTAAAAGGCAACCTATGGAAATGGAGAAGATATTTGCAAATGACATATCTGATAAAGAGTTACTATCCAAAATATACAAAGCACTTATAAAAGTCAATACCTCCCCCCAAAAATTAATAATCCATTTAAAAAATGGGCAGAAGACATGAATAGATATTTTTCCAAAGAATACATATAGATGGCTCACAGACACATGAAAAGATGCTCAACATCACTCATCATCAAGGAAATGCAAATCAAAGACACAATGAGATACCATCTCACACCTGTCAGAATGGCTAAAATTGACAACACAGGCAACAAGAGGTATTGATGAGGATGCAGAGAAAGGGGAACCCTCTTGCACTGTTGGTGGGAATGCAAACTGGTGCAACCACTCTGGAAAACAGTATGAAGTTTCCTCAAAAAGTTAAAACCAGAACTACCTATGACCCACCAGTTGCACTACTAGGTATTTACCCAATGGATACAAACATACTGACTTGAAGGGTCACCTGCATTGTGATGGTTACAGCAGTATTATCAACAATAGCAAACTATGTCCATCAACTGATGAATGGATAAAGAAGATGTAGTGTATTTACAGACAATGGAATATTACTTAGTCACCAAAAAGAAAGAAATCTTGCCATTTGCAACAATGTGGATAGAGCTAGGGTGTATCGTGCAAACAAAATAAGTCAGTCAGAGAAAGACAAATACCATATGATTTCACTCATATGTGGAATTTAAGAAAGAAAACAGATGAATATAGAGGAAGGGAAGAAAAAAAAAAGAGGGAGACAAACTATAAGCGAGTAGAGAGAACAAAGTGAGGGTCAACTGGAGGGGAGGTGGGCCGGGGATGGGCTAAATGGGTGATGGGTATTAAGGAAGGCTGCTGTTGTGATGAGCACTGGGTCTTGTATGTAAGTGATGAATCACTACATTTGACTCCTAAAACCAATATTACACTATATATTAGCTAACTAGAATTTAAAGAAAAATTTGAAACAAACAAAAAAGACGATGTGGAATATTAGTGAAAAAAAGCAATTAAATCTTGCCATTTGCAAGCACGTGGATGGATCTAGGGAGTATTATGCTAAGTGAAATAAGTCAGTTGGAGAAAGACAAATAGCATATGGCTTCACTCATACGTGGAATTTTTGAAACAAATGAACACAGGGGGGTGGGGGGGGAGAAAGGTCAATCCAGAAACAGACTCTTAATTACAGAGAACAAATTGATGGTTACTGGAGGCAGGGGTGGGGGTTAAATAGGTGATGGGGATTAAGGAGTTGAGCACCAGGTGTTGTATGTAATGATGAATCACTAAATTCTACACCAGAAACCAATATTACACTGTAAAGTAACTGGAATTTAAATAAAAATTTGTAGGAGAAAAAAAAATGAAGCATTCTCATTCTCAGCAGCAACAATCAACTTTGCATTTATGAAGGCCAGCCAAACTCTACATCTATTTTGTGGAAGACTGACTTTCTCTGTATAACTTTTCAGTAGCGTTTCTGTATAACCAAGTAATACAAAAAGGACAAAAGACATAGATTATGTGTTACTATATTTTAGTGTTTACTTATAAAGTACAGTAACTGATACACTGCTGAAAAGGAAGAAAAATACAGTGATAACTCATGAATAAGAAATTGATTTTTATGTAGTAACAGTTTTTTCATGTGCTATAGTTTTTCCATTTTTCTTACACTAAGTAAATTTTATGGTTTAGAATACTAACCATTCATATGAACAAGGATTTAGGAATCTACTAGGTTTAAAAGAAAAGAGAAAGTGGGCAAATAAGAATTAAATATACAAAGGAAAAAAAATCAATTCTAGAGGACAATTATATTTCTTTTAAAAGTAGCATGAATAAATGTCCATGGATCAAGAGAGACTGGATGGACCCCTGGACACTCAACCACTTTCTGCGAAGGAAGAAAGGTCTTGAACCACAAAGGTGTGCTTTTGTGCAAAAAACCAAAACCAGTTAGCCCTTTTCCATATCTACTTTCTATTTTGGCAAGTGCAAGAAAGCAGGAAATAGCTTTCACCATCAAGAAGATTTCTACCTCTCCCATCTCCCAGAGCTGTAAAGAGTTCTACATAAGGACACAAAACCAGAGAGGTCTTCTCCATGTTACAGGTGGGGAGCTCCTTCGCAGCTCAAGGCAAAGGGCATTAGAGTCTATACTCCAGGATCTGGGGGCCTTTCGTGGGGCACTTGAAGTGAGACACTAGAGTGATGAGTCTGAGTTACAAAAATCAGAGTCATTACTTTCTGTCCATAATTCCTATGATTAAAACACCAAGTGAATGTGCTACTTGTGAAAATGTAACTGCTCATAACAACATCTACAGGCTGATCACAGGGGACTAGAAAACGAGATCTTTAAATCCTTTCCAACTAGGAAATTCCATAATTACATGGGTAATTTGGGCTTTGGGCCTCCGAAGTTTTTTGTTTTTTTTTTTTAATTTGTTACATTTTATTATTCTGTTTTTTTTTTTTTAAAGATTTTATTTATTTATTTGACAGAGAGAGAGACAGCGAGAGCAGGAACACAAGCAGGAGGAGTGGGAGAGGGAGAAGCAGTCTTCCTGCCCAGCAGGGAGCCCGATGCGGGGCTCGATCCCAAGACCCTGGGATCATGACTGAGCTGAAGGCAGACGCTTAACGACTGAGCCAGTCAGGCGCCCTTATTATTCTGTTTTTTAATTTTGTTATCCCTTTTTAAAAAAGTAATCTCAACACCCAGTGTGGAGCTTTGAACTCACAATCCCAGGGTCAAGAGTCAGATCCTCTACAGACTGCACCAGCCAGATGCCCCAAGGGAACTCAGTTTTAAACATGGCCCATTCAGAATTCCAAATCAGTTCAAAATTCTCTCACTTCTTTATTCCCTCTTTCTCCTGGGAGTGATCTAAATTCTCAGAGGATTTATGTATCATCCTGGCATTGGGAGTAGGACATTTAGTACAACGAATTCCCTCTGTTCTCACTATCCTCTGCAGAGGGAGCTAGTTGTTTCTGGTTCCTCTTGTCATATGCTCCTATGGGCTGCTGTCCTTGCCATGTGGGCCTCCGAAGTTTTAAAAAAGTCACTTCAAAATCAAAATTTTAAGACTAGAATACACAACGACTTAGCTACATCTACAGTCAAATTTGTATACATACCTCACTGAAAAGGCTTCCATTAACATATGAAATCCAGAGTTTCCAGAAGTTAGGCAGCTGACTTAAAACAAGCTTGGTCAACTTTTCAACAAATGCCACCCGGTGAGGAGTTTTGTATCTCCATGCTAAGGGGGGGAAAATACTATGAATATACTTTGAATCAAGAATAAAAATCGGTTGAACATATAACTGCTCCCCCACCTAAAAATGTGTCACACTTCGTCCCACTTTGGCTGTAGAGCTTTAATTTGCTGATAGACCAATATTTCCTTTTCCACATCACATTACCAAAGACTGCCGGCACAGAGAATACACTTTTAATAATACACAGAGAATAAATACCCTGCTGTTCTCAAAGGGGCGTGGCAGATGGGGGAGTGGCAGACTGGTCAGGAGGACACAGAAGAAGAAGCAAGGAGGATATTTTGGGTTTTCAACCTTGTCTTCAGGATGTTCTATTTCTCTTCAAAAGTCATGTCTTCAAACAGCAAAGTAAGGCAAAGACAGGGCAAGGCCAATTAGCCTTAAATTGGAGGCAAATATCAACCAGTTAAAAATGCCACTATATATGCACTTGAAAGTTCAATAACAACTCAAGTTATCATAAAGGAACATATTCAAGTATAATCGTATAATGAATAACTCTTCCCATAACAAAGAAATTTAAGAAAAAATAAAAATATTGAAGCCTCTTGGATTACGTATCATTTAATGCAATTACTGTAAGTGGGAAATAAGGTCTTATAGATTTTTTATGGGAATAAGTTCATAGGAATAAAAACAAATTAGTAATTCAGTGAGCATTAATCACTTCCAATTTCTTCCCTTCTTATCACATTCTTTCCTGTTTCCTCCTTCCTCCATGCCCTGCTTCCCAGCTCTGCTGTTCTGTTTCACAGCCTCCAGCAGGAGCAGGGCAGAGGTATTCCTACTGTCCAATTCACAGCAATGATCAGGAGAACCTCTGGGGTCAACTGCCAACTTCTATTCAGCAACTTCAAAGAAAGGTCAGATAAGGGAACCTGCATTAACTCCTTCATCAACTACCAGTTTCTTTTCAAAATACTCCTAGGCAAAAAGTTCTGTTGCTATCATTACTGTTGTTATTCTAGTGGGGAAGGGTGGATTTTATTTAATTTTAAAATGTTTCATAATAATCTAAAAAGACAATATATGGTTAGAAAAGAAAACTTAAAAGGTATATAGAACAAAATCTACCTCCCACCTACATTCCCCATTTGCCTAGTTCCCAGCTGCAGCCATAAGAAACTGCTGTTATTTGTTGCTTGTGATTCTTTCTAACATGTCTTTTATATACACAAGCAAATATAAATACATATTCTCTCCCCACCCAAATGTTCTTTTACACAAATGAAAGCATATTAAACACACCGTTTTGACACTTGGGCCTTTTTTCATTTAATAACGGATCCTGAAGTTTTTCCCTATTCGTGCATAAAATATTTTTTTCCCCCCAGTTACACAGTACAACTGACCCTTGAACAATACAGGTTAGGAACAATGACCCCCTGCACAGTCAAAAATCCATGAATAACTTCTGACTCCCCCAAAACTGAACTAATAGCTTACTGTTGACCAGGAAACTTTCCAATTATATAATGCAGTCGATTAATATTTTATATATGTATTATATACTATATTCTTACAATACCTTTCTAATTTTTTCAGTATTTCTAGGCTACATGGTTCATCTGAGAGTTTTTTCAAATTGTCACAATCTCCAAAAAACTTTCCAATATATTTATTGAACAAAATCCATGCATAAGTAGACCTGCACAGTTCAAACCAGTGCGGTTCAAGGGCCAACCGTAGTTCATATTTTGTATGTATCATAATTTTTTAAAAATCCCTTTATAATGGATAAGACTGTTTTCAATGTTTTGTAGTTAAAATTAGTGCTTTAAAATAAATTAAAAAAATAAACTAAAATAAGTGCTTTAATCAATAACTCTGTGCCTACCACATTTAGCACATGTACAAGTATCAGTGTAGAATAAATTCTCAGAACAAGAATTGCTGGGTCTAAAAGTACAGAGTTGTGATTTTTAGTAAGTATTATTAAACTGACCTCCATGGGGATTCTTTACATACCCACCAGCAACACACAGAAACACACAGAAACTTCCTTATAATCTCACCAATGAAGAAACCACACACAAAATTCCAAACAATCAAAATCTGGGGATTTTGCCAACTGGTATCTCATTGTAGTGTTACATGGTCTTTTAAATTTTTATTGTAAGTGAGGCTGAGTGCCTACCTTCATATACTTAAGAGCATTCAGACTTCCAATCTGGGGACTATAGACCTCTTTACCTATTAGGTGTATTAGCCCTCTGTCTATGAGTTGTGGGAGAAAGCTTTAAATTCAGTTGCCACATATGTGAAAGGCATGGTTCTTTATTTAGGGGTACACTGTAAACTGTACTTGTCTATTTGGCCAATATTTATTAAGTGTCCACTGTGTGCTAATCCTATGGCTATGCCTTAATGTCTGTCTAAGATGCTCACCACTAATACTGAATGAACAGGGAAGGTCTCTGCCTTCACAGAGCCTACAATTGAACAATCAATGAAAGGAGTCCTAATGATAATGTGACATGAGTCTAATGAGATTAGAGGTATTTTTCATCTGGAGACAGAGCTAAAGCAGACAAACCAAACACAGGGAAGCACTGTTTTCCAAACGGCATGCAGTACCCTACATAGCAGAGGCCACAGCCCAGTGTATGATGGGCCAATGACAAAGTAAGAAATAGGACAAGAAAATCTAAAAACTGAAGCTTTGGCAGACCTGCCTCATGGGGTAGCAAGTAGACTCATACATGACCTCTTCCCCTAAATTAGTGTTTCAAAGGTCTGAGCTCCTCCATGCAGCTATATTACAACTATTTATATAACCCTGTTGGGAGAAACTCATCTAATAACCTTATCTTATATATTCTTTGCAAAGCTTTTTTGCTGGGAAATCAAAAGTGAAAACACCCTATGATGAACCAAGTCTCTACTGGATCTGATGCTGGACAAGCACTTTGAGTGGCCTGGCTTATTGCATATCCATGTATTCTACACAGATACAGATATTCTATATACAGAGGGCACCAGGTCTCAAAGACCAGTCTGTCATGGGGAACTGCCTCCACTCCAAAGAAAAATAAGGAACATTGCTTTTTCACCAATGTAAAGGAAAATATCATTTTAAAAAACACAAACAGAAATTAAACTCAGCTTCTCTCTTGTTAAATCCATTAATTAATAAGTATTCTAATTGAAGTGATTTTATGATAGGAAAAACAGTTGGACAAATATAAATAAAAACATTACAAAACAATCCCATAAGGCTTCCAAAAAGATTTCTTCAGCTGAATCTTTTTATGACAGAGTAATTGGTAAAATTATTTTGTCTAAGTTCACTATAGTACAGAGTGATAATAGTGCAGCTAAATAATAGTACCAAATAATCATACTGAGCTGAGAGTTCTGCAATTCCTCAATGTGCTGGCACGCAATCAAGGTTCTTGGAAAACAGACAGGTCCCTGCAGCCTCCTGCCCAGTGACAGGGAATAATTTTTAGTCTCATGTTTGATCTTTTTATTACTAATGGATTCTTTATACCTATGTATATACGTATGTAATGAGAGTCCCTATTTACCCATTCCTTCTATATCTACTTCATCCAAATTCTGATTATCTGAAAATGATTTTGGGTTTTATTTTCTTACTGAATCCAACATGTCTTAGTTAAATTCCCATATGCTATTATCAGTTACAGAATAACTTCAAGAGTTATTTCCTAAGACTGATGAAAAGAACTATTTAGTATAAGCAATCTTCCTCAATTGTTTCAGTTTCAAGTAATAATTTTAAGGAAATTAAACATGTATTTTACTTCTACTTCCAGCCATACTGGAGTAATAAAGATTAGATTCAACCTCCAGTTATAAACAACTAGAAAACTGGGGGCAGGAGGTAGATACTATAAACTGTTTCAGACACTGGGCAATAGGCAGCACAGCACTGATTCCCAAGGGGAGGGAAGTGCATGATGAACCCACAAGTGCCATGGCTCTGTCTACAGACACGTTCTAGACAACACAGACAAAAGGAAGCATAACCTAAACAAAGCTCAATGGCCTTTCTGAGCTGGAAAGAAAGAGGTGGAGGTGACTAGAAAATGTAGGAAAGAGTTCCAGAAGGAACCTACATAGAAAAAAGCTCCAAAAATCTGCATAAGAGTCCTCCTAAGTCTTTGCTGAGAACTAGTTCTGCATATATGGAGTCAAACTTCACAAAACCAGGCAAAGAACAACCAGGGAATTGTAAGGTAAACAGTTCCCAGAAATAATACAGGGCAGGGAGACCTTCTAGCTCTGAACAGCCAGAGGGAACAGTCCTCATCAATTACCTGGGCCACTCAGTACAGACCCAAAAGATCACACCTCAGTGGTCGGGTTAAAGTATCCCCAGAATGAAGGCTACTCTAGACCTGCTCTAGCAAACTAGCAAAAGCCTTGAACGGCTCAAACTTACCTGTAAGGAACTGATAAAACAGTCTAGCATTCCTTAAAGGAAGACAACAGAACTCATACTCAACACTGAACATTCACATGATGAGCAGGGAAATATGCATAATAACCAGAAACCAAGAGAAAAATTGTCAATAGTAACAAATCCAAAAATGACAGAGATGCCCAAATTAACCAATGACAATGTTCAAATATTTAAAGGAAAACATGAAAATAATGAGGGCAGGAAGGTAAGATATTTATAAGAACGAAGTGGAATTTCTAGAGATGAAAAATACAGTATCTGGAATTTTCAGGTTAGACACTGCAGATAAAAGATCAGAGAAGTTGAAGGCATAGCAATTGACTCTATAATGAAGCAGAGTGGAAAAACCGGGGGGGGGGGAGGAGGAACAGGGAAAGAGCCTCAGTGATCTATGAGATAATCTATTGGCCTACCATACATGTAATTGAAGTCCTAGAAAAGGAAATAGAACAGAAAATACCTGAGAAAACTAAGGCCCCACATTTTCTAAATTTGATGAAAATTTCCAGAATCTCATAAAATAGATCCAAGAAATTTGGCAAAACCCAGGCAGGATAAATTTGAATGTTCAAGATGATATAACTCATTTAAAGTCAAGATTCAATAATAGTTTCTAATTGATTTAAGCCTGTTAGCATGTCAACTGATGGTAGTAAATTACTTAAGGAGTGAGGTGGAGGGTGTTTAGACCTGCCATAATTTCCTACTAATTAAAAGAAGGAAGTATTGTTTAAAAACTCAGGTGGACTGCACTCCAGAGTCAGATCCTGGAGGCCATATTTGCTTAGAGGGCTTTATTTGCTTAGAGGGCTATAATACACCACAGTATACAGAAGCAAGTTATTCTGTTCTTTCACTGTTTATATTAGTTTGATGGGCTTGGTAGGAAATGGGAACAGGACAAGAAGGAACACTGAGCCCTCCATTTAGTACAAATGAATCATCTAATTTTAAGGTGTTCTTATGATGGATATTCACTCATATTTATTAATGAAACCTTAGAAAAGCCCTACTCCAATACTTGTAATAAAATATTTTAAAATAAACTTTAGAGGTATTTAATATAAAGTAAGATATTTTTATTACCCTATTTGGATTTCTTTCTTTTTTTTAAGATTTTATTTTTAAGTGATCTCCATACCCAATATGGGGCTTGAACTCACAACCCCAAGATCAAGAATTGAATGCTCTACCAACTGAGCCATCCAGGCATCCCACCCTATTTGTATTTCTTCGATCTGTTATTGAGGTTATAAATAACTAGTGACTTAATAGCATTTAATTGGTACCCAAATGCATTATAAACAATAATTTTGTATCTCACACAGGTAAATAAACAATAGGTAAATATCAACTTCAGAAAGTTAAGAAAGGCAACATAGTTAAAATGAGATGCTTTATTCTCAGGAAAAATGATTAGCAATTAATATATTATTAACCCTCTTTCCAAAGCAAATTTTAAAGTGCATAGAAGAGGTGTTTCTTTGTACTGACTATAGAGACTACTTTTGTTACAAATTTCATCTTAAAGAAATTCTCAGAAAATATTTTCTGTGGCATATTTTTAAAAAGTCAATCACAGGAAAAATAAAACTAGACTTTAACTATGTATGTTGAATAAACATTCACCTATGAAGAAGGTTGGTAATATTTAGCAGCAGTAACACAACTAATTAGGAAAATCCAAGTGATAAATGCCTGAAACTGCACAAGTACAAATTTAAAAGACAAAGTGGGGGACAGAGAGAGATACTTACAGTCATCTCGACCAGACTGAAAGCTGCTGCCCCTCTTCAGTGATGCCGTCTGACTAAGATGACCCAACACCAAGGGACGGGTATCATTATCCAGATCCAACATGGGACTGTGAAGGCCTGGAGTACCTAGAAGAGAGGTGACATTTCCATATATTCCATATTTTCTTACTTGTTGATTTATTTTTTTAAATTTTATTATGTTATGTTAGTCACCATACAATACATCATTAGTTTTTGATGTGGTGATCCATTAGTTTTTGATGTGGTGATCCACGATCCATTGTTTTCGTATAACACCCAGTGCTCCATGCAGTATGTGCCCTCCTTAATACCCATCACCGGGCTAACCAATCCCCCCCCCGCAAAACCCTGTTTGTTTCTCAGAGTCCATAGTCTCTATGGGCTGCTTCTCTGAGTTATTTCTTCCTCAATTGTTCATTCTTTTAAATAAAACATTTGCCAAGCAAAATAAAAAATATTTTCTCTAAATAGCTTTGAAAAGTCATTCCCACCATGACAGATTCAGATAGGATTCAATCCATTATTCTGGTTTACTACAGAGATGTAAAAACTGTGAGAGAAACTTATGTATCATTTTAGAATGAATGTTCAGCAAAACTGGCAGGGGCAAGAGTGGGGGAAGGTCTACAAACCTAAAAATCAGGCTGAGAAATCCTTTTTTGAAAAACAACTTCACACTTGGAAGTCAGAGTTCTGACTCTCTTTTGATGCAGATTTGACATTTTGCCTTCTATTGTTCATTAACAATTTTCTCCTATCTCCAAGTCAAAATATTATCTTCTCAGGTTTAAGAGTTAAATATTATATCTCTGTCCACAATCACTGGACCTTCTGCAAATAACTCCCTCAATATATACTGAGTGACTGATACTAAATTACTCAATAAGAACTCTGTTCCTTCTTTTATAATTTAATAGAATAATAAAAGCATATAGATTTGTTTTCAGACGCAAAAGATAAAACATATCCATGCCACTGATAATATTAGTTATTCAATAACACTGAACGAGGATTTATTGAGTACCTCCTATGTGCCAGGAACTATAGGCCCTGAAGATAAGGTGATGAATAATAGATAATGCCCCGCTCCAAAGTATTTACATTCTGGTAGTAGAGGCAAAAAATAAAGCAATAAATAAATAAAATACAGTAAAAATATGCCATGGAGAACTTCTTTTCAGGAGCTCCTCCTATCATGAGCCACTTAACATGATACAATATGAGCTATCTCCTTGTATTCTGACAAATTCTACTAAGGTAGGGTTTGTAGAAATAGAAATTAAATCGGACAGATTTTTTAGTGGAATAGAATTTTACTGAAGACATACTATGTGCTAAATGCTTCATTTACATGCATTTCTAAACACTAAGATACGACTTGTGTAATTCCATATTTTAAAACAATTTATTTGCTAAAACAACAAAATAAATGATATGTGATAGAGTAAGAAAATACAATGAAGAAATAATATTTTTATAATTGATTTTTTTCTATATTAAAGGCCAAGTGTGTGGAAGCTTTTAATGACTTATGACATTTTCTTTTGCAGTTTATATAATTGCCACTACTATTGATTGCAGAATTCTGGAAAATAATATCGAAATATTATTTCTGACATACTTTAAAAGGAAATATAAAGGAGCCCAAACTTAGCATCACAATATTTACATAAAAATTATAATATATATATAAAATTTCATATAAAAAGGTACAAAAAAAGAATGCTTTAAGTTAAAATGTTACATGTGGGGCACTTGGAGAGCTCAGCAGGTAGAGCACCTGACTTGATCTCAGGGTCATGAGTTCAAGCCCCACACTGGGTGTGGCTCCTACCATAAAAAGTTACATGTTACTCTTGAAGGTTTCAGAACTATAC